AACACTACACATAATACATTTTAATTGTGCATCTGTTTTTTATTAACTTAAATTGAACTTTTAATTAGCCGAGCTGGTAATGCCTACAGTGTTGAATTTAGCAAAGCATGTAAACACCACATGTAAAAAATCTTGTGTGGACAGACTTACATTTTGAATGCATTGCTGTTATGTTAGTGCTGAATTACTATTTCACTTTTTGTACTGATTCTAATTATCCCTCTATTTTCTTCAGTAATGGACATATAAAAAAAAATCTGAATTAAAACACACACACACATACATTTTCATATATACATATTACAGTTTGGAGTCAGTAAGGTTTTTTTTTATTTAAATTTAGTATTTAGCAAGGATGCATTAAATTGATCAAAATGAGTGAAGTGACATGTGGCCAAGTATGGTGACCCATACTCGGAATTTGTGCTCTGCATTTAACCCATCCAAGTGGACACACACAGCAGTGAACACACACTCGGAGCAGTGGGCAGCCATATTGCTGCAGTGCCCGGGGAGCAGTTGGGGGTTCGGTGCCTTGCTCAAGGGTCTCACCTCAGTCGTGGTATTGAGAGTGGAAGAGAGTGCTGGCCATTCACTCCCCCCACTGACAATTCCTGCCGGACCTGAGACTCGAACCCACAACCTTCGGGTTACAAGTCCGACTCTCTAACCATTAGGCCACGATTTCTATATCAAATCAGTGGTTCACAGAACTTAGTATTCATCAAAGAATCCTGAAAAAAAAGTATCATGGCAAGAACTGTTTTCAACATTGTTAAAAAGTAGTCTGATAAAGTCTACATATGTATCTGAATTAGGGTTGTCAACGTTAACTTGTGCGATTAATTCAAAATCTTTAACGCGTTAAAATAATTGAATGCAAACAAATTACTGAAGCATGTGAAATTGCGTCATTAATGTAATTTACATCATGCAGTAAGATGATCTTGGGAGTCCGGAGTTTCTCACACTGAGCATCTACAATGGCACAAAACCTGTATCCCTGATAGGCGGAATTTTCTATTCTAACACTTTAACCTGATTTCGCTTCTCTGATTTCAATCAGGTCTTTTAAAGCCTCTAAACTCTGGGAAAGTTTTCAGTCCAATGATCCAGCAAGCGAATACATTCAAACAATCAGTCCAAAACTGTCCTAATGTAAAAAAAAAAACAGGCTGACTACATCAGAGATGGCAGAGAGAGCAGAGACTCATTTTCAGTGAATTATTCATTGTGTGTTTGGCTTTAAAACACAAGATCTGTCATATTCTGTGATTATTTCTGAAGAGTGCGAGCATAGGCGGAGTGTGTGTAAGGCTGGGGAAAGCTTAGCCTTAGGCCACGGGGTCTTGGGGCAAAAATGCCACTAAATTGGACAAAAATGCCCCTGCACAAACAAATTAAATCTATTACGTCTGTTGCTAACAAAGTGTAAATGAATAGAAAGTGTCGACTGCACATTAAATTAAGATTTGCTCATGTTGCACCGTATTTCATTTTAGGCGTTTTTACAGTGTTGCGCATTATAAACAATCAAAGCTGACTGAATTCCGTGAATTCTCTCATCATAAACAACAAAGCGCAGATGTACGTAAAATGTAATTAAGGGATTAATTTCGCAGTGTAGACAGCTTCAGTGATTATAACGATAGTTTTGTTTTTTTGAGTGCGATAGATTAAAGTTAGTGATAATGTCATTTCTGTACATAATTCATTCGCCGTTTGAATAACCGTGGGAAGGAAACGTTATATACTTATCAATTTTTAATGTTACATGACACCCATGTAATTTTTTATTTAGTACTGACCTGAATAAGGTATTTCACATAAAAGACGTTTGCATATAGTCCACAAGAGAAAATAATAGTTGAATAAAAAAAAAATGACCCTGTTCAAAAGTTTACATACGCTTGTTGTTCATGGGTCCCTTGTTTGCCCTGAGCAGTTAAACTGACTGCTGTTCTTCAGAAAAATCCTTTAGGTCCCACACATTCTTTGGTTTTCCATAATTTTTTGTGTGTTTAAACCCTTTCTAACAATGACTGTATGATTTTGAAATCCGTCTTTTAACACTGAGGACAACTGAGGGACTTACTGCAACTTACATGCAACTATTACTAAAAGTTCAACCGCTCACTGATGCTCCAGAAGGAAACACGATGCATTAAGAGCCTGGAGGTGAAAACTTTTTGAATCTGAAGATCAGGGTAAATTGAAATTATTTTGTCTTCTGGGAAACATGCAAGTATTTTCTGAAGGGCAGAAAATGAAAATATATCATATTTAGGCAAAATAAGAAAAATGTACACATCTTCATTTTGTTCAAAAGTTTACACCCCTGGCTCTTAATGCACCGTTTTTCCTTCTGGAGCATCAGTTCGGTATGACCAAAAATTTATATCACTGTATTTTTCAAAATTATACCGGTTTCACGGTACATGACGGTATTTTTTTTTTCATGCATGACCGGGTGTTAACCATATTTTCTACTGATTGAGAGAGGAAATACTGCAGTATATTGACTTAGAATGCCCTATTTTACTGTCATGATGAGTGAATATTGTCAAAAAATACCGCACTAAATAGTGACTAAACACGGCCCCTTTTACTACATGTTAACCAGGAGTCACTCTCATTTATAATCGCGGCATCGTCTGATAAAATCAACATACATCTACACTAAAGAGCGGCTATGCGGTTGTTTTGGCTATATTACTTTTTTGTCTCATGCAGCGCACTGCCTGCGTTTGAGTAACAAACTAAAAAAAACAACAAACAAAAAAGTGCATGTGATATTAACAGACGAACTACGCTCATATTTATAATTCCAAACAATCAGTAAGCGACAGGTGCTAGGAAACGCTGTTTTGTACTCATTTATTGACGAGTCGGCTGCGGTGCTTCTCTGCCGCTCACTGCACAGAACAGACGCCGAGAGAGGTGACACTTCTCCGGGAAAGTCAGACCTCGCGTTCGCGGGAAATCTTCCAACTGAACCATAGCTAAGGTTTATCCCAAAAAGTCGCTAGGTTTGTTAGTATGAATATTCTATGGAAAAAAGCCGCTAAAAGGGTCTGGAAGTTGCTAAATCTAGTGCTAAAGTCGCGCTTGTGTGTGTGTGTGTGTGAGACACGGGAGCTGATAGCAGGGGGCGGTGGATATTTGTGGCGGTCAATGTGGATATTGTGGATGAGTTCTTCTGTGTCATCACGTTCTATTAGTTCTACAGCTTCAGTTTCGGAACTTTCATGCTTAGTAACACATACAGCTGTTCCCTCACCACAGTGAAAAGGGACCCCTTTCAAACAGTGTCGCGTTCCGAACGTTGTTTAAGCAACATACATGTATTGCCGTATTTTAAAAATTCATATCATAACAAAAATAAACACCGGTATTCGGTATGAACCGGTATACCGCCCAGCACTACCCAAAAGGTTGGAAAATAAAAAAATAAATAATCCTTAGGGAAGCAAAAGGGCCCTGCGCCATCTAGGGCTTTGGCCCTAATTATAATCCTTAGGAAAATCCTTGGGCCCTAAAAATAGAGGACCAAATCAGCTTATTAGAATGATTGCTGAAGGACCATGTGACACTGAAGACTGGAGTATGGCTGCTTTGCCATCAATAAATAAATAAATTGCATTTTAAAATAAGTTAGAAAACCGTTGTAATATTTCACAAGTTTGATCAAATAAAAACATTCAGAAACATGAAAAAAATCATACTAACCTCAAATTGTTTAATGGTTGTGTGTGTGTGTGTGTGTGTATACAGTATATATATTTGTGTATACAGTGTGTGTTACTGACCACAGTAAGATTTCCCTTTGCTTTATTCTGATGTTTGTGCCTAGATGAGGAGAAAATTTGTGTAATTTAATTCAAGAACTTCTGTCTTTGTAATTAATGACTATCCAGGACATCTTCTAGAATGTCACAGTGTCGTATTTCTGGTAAACATCACAATGTTTGACTATTTTTAGCAGTACAGCAGAAATAGACATTGTTCTGTTCTACAGCACTGTCAGCAGGTCAGCCTTTCAGGGAAGATGACGACAAAACTGTGGTGTTTCACATATCTCATTTCCATTTATACATTAGAGAAATTTAAATTGATATTTGATCCCTGCTATACTTCAGTATTGCATTTCCAATTAATATTCCCTTATTTGTTTTGCTGCTTGTTTTGGTATGTGCGACTAGGTTCCTTGTTTGGTCGAAAACAAATCCTATCAGGATATTTGGCTGTAGTCAGAGGCACAAAGTGAAAGCACAGAATGATAACTCGAGGCTCTAGCTTCAGTGTATCTTGTGCATTCTG